GTTTGTTTGAACTTGTCAGGTTAAAATATGCAGAAACATCCACAGAACAATTAATATCTAATGTAACCACTGCCTAGAATTCACATTTGTCATTCCTGCTTCAAATGTATTAAAAAATGGAATATTAAAAAAAGTTGAAATTCGCCTATTTTTATTCTTGATCCCATTCCCCTTCTTCTGTGAGGCAGCTGTAACTATCAACTTGGTGTACACCTATTGAGTCCATGTTTTTATAACACTGACTATAAATTTATGAATCTGTAAAAAGGAAGTACCGTATATGTATGTATATGCATACATATAAAAGAAATTACTGCGCCATAGGGTAGTAAGCCTTATGCTGAGTTTTGAAATCTAACAAGAAAATCTGTCTTATCTTTTTCAGTATTGTTTTGGCTGTTCTTGGATATCACTTTTAGAATTAGTCTAAATCATAAAAAAGAATCCTATTGGAATTTTGATTCAAAGTGCTTTGGGTCAATAGATTAGTTTGATGTCTTTTCAGTCTGGATTCTTCATTGTCCTAAAGAACGTGACACTTTTTTTCAGGTCTCCCTTTACATCCTTTAATAATGTTTTATCATTTTCTCTTTAGGACAGTGATGATTGATTTTTGTATTTTGATCTGATAGCCATTAAAACTGCTGTATTCTGGGGGCGCCTGGGTGGCTCAGTGGGTTGAGCCTCTGCCTTCGGCTCAGGTCATGGTCTCGGGGTCCTGGGATAGAGCCCCACGTCAGGCTCTCTGCTTGGCGGGGAGCCTGCTTCTGTCTGCCTCTCTGCCTGCTTGTGATCTCTGTCTGTCAAATAAATAAATTCTTAAGAAAAAAAAGAAAACTGCTGTATTCTGTTTTATAAATACTGTTAGTTTCTCAGTAGATGCTCTTGAATTTTTTATGAAAACAGTAATATCGGGGCGCCTGGGTGGCTCAGTGGGTTAAGCCTCTGCCTTCGGCTCAGGTCATGATCCCAGGGTCCTGGGATCGAGCCCCGCATCAGGCTCTGCTCAGCAGGGAGCCTGCTTCCCTTCCTCTCTCTCTCTGCCTGCTTCTCTGCCTACTTGTGATCTCTGTCTATCAAATAAATAAATAAAATCTTAAAAAAAAACAGTAATATCACCTGAAAAGTCATCAGTTTGTCTCCTCCTTTCTTATATCTACTTTTCTTGCCTTATAACCATTAGAACAAGTATTCTTTTATGCAATAGTAGCAAAGATAGTGGACATCATCTTATTCCTGACTTTAATAAAAATGCTTTTAAACTTTGAGGTCTGTTGTAAGTTTTAGGTAGGTGCCTTTTAATACATTATAAAAGTTTCCTTCCATTCATGTTTTGGAAATTTTTTAAAAATATGAATGAGTGTTCAATTTCATATAATACCTCTTTACGAATCTGGAGATGATCATGTGGCCTTTCTCCTTAATCTGTTAATACGTTAAGACTGCAGTGATGGATTTTCTAATATTGAGCCATCCTTGTATTTACTCAGATAGACTCTACTTAGTTATACTGGGTCTTTTTTTTTTTTTTTTAAGGACACTGATGAACTGAGTTTGCAGCAGGAATAGTGTAGCAGGATGATAATGGGGCATAACTGATAGCTTATCCTGTCCTCAGAGGTTACCACATATCTCAGGGATTTGAGTGGAAATACTGTCCTGTTGAGAACAGTTACTCAATTTTCCAAGGCTAAGTTCAGATAAGGTCTAGTTCTTGACCTGAGATTCTCGTTCCCACAGGGCAATACAGGCTCAACCAGTTTGATGACTTTTAGCATTGACAGTTTTAAGGTGGACCAGGAGAAAAACAGGTTACCTTCTGGAGGAATGAAGAGTTATAACTCCCCTACCTGACCCCCAAGTCCTCTCTGAGACCTGTGACTACATCCTGTCTGAACGTTGCTGAGCCACTCAACTAGCAGAAGAGACATAATGAGGTTGTGTAGCACCGCCTGCTTTGGTGTGGAAGGGTTTCTGGAGTTTCTCACAAGTCAGTGGTCCCTGAAGAAGATGGTAGGGGTATAAGGAGTTTTGCTGGTAGCTCTCAGGATGGCCACTGCTATGGTAAGAGAACCCTGGCAGCAAGAGACACTATAGGATGTCCACTGGTGGAATGTGCTGAGTTGGAGCAAAAAAAGTTGAGCTTTATTCAGAAGCCCCCCGCCACCAATTTCCTGCCAGGACCATGCCTTAAGCCCCTTTGGAGAACTAGCTTTTAGATAACTGCCACCTGGAGGCAACTGATCCCCAATTTACATTAAACAGAGAGGACAAGACAACCAACAGAAAGGGGACAGAAACATCTCCATCATCTAGCTGGTATTTTTCATGTAAAGAAAACATGAGTACGTCCAGCTAATAAAAGTACAACAAATTGTAAAGCCAATTGTGTAAGGAAAGATCACTTCCCCCTCCTCCTCTTTCCCCCCATCAATGCCAAAGGAGTCCTGTAATAGTTTTCTATTGCTGTGTAATGAATTACCACAAATGTAGTGGCTTAAAGCAACACAAATATATTGGCTCATAACTCTGTGTGTCAGAAGTCCAAGTAAGCTCGACTGGGTTTCTCTGCTCCAGTTCTCATAAGGTCAGTGAAGATTGGCCAATTGAGTTCTTATCTGGAGGCCCTAGAGAAAAACCTGCTTTCTAGCTCATTCAGATTGTTGTCCACCTTCAGTTCCTGGTAGTTGTAGAACTGTGATCCCCATTTTCTTGCTGTTAATAGGGGCCCCCCCTCAGCTCCTAAAGTCTACCTACATCCCTTAACACATGGGCCCCTTCATCTTCAAGCCAGCAATAGTGTGTTGAGTTCCCCCCGACACTTCAAATCTCTGACTTACTCCTCTGCCACCAGCCAAAGAAAACTCCGAGTTTAAAGTCTCTTGTGGGGGCGCCTGGGTGGCTCGGTGGGTTAAGCCGCTGCCTTCGGCTCAGGTCGTGATCTCGGAGTCCTGGGATCGAGCCCCGCATGGGGCTCTCTGCTCAGCAGGGAGCCTGCTTCCTCCTCTCTCTGCCTGCCTCTCTGCCTGCTTGTGATCTCTCTGTCAAATAAATAAATAAAATCTTTGAAAAAGAAAAAAAAAGGAAAAAAAAAATAAAGTCTCTTGTGGTTAGAACTGGCCAACTCAGATAAACTCCTTTGTGCCATATAATATAGCATAATCATGGGCATAATATCTCATTATATTTGCCAGGCTTTATGCAGACTCAAAGGGGAGAGGATTATACAGGGTGAGGACCAATGAGGGTCTATTCCGGAATTCTGCAAACCAGGAGTAAGAACAGGAAAGAGGATGTGGGATGTGACAGAGCCATGCCCCACAGTCCCATTTCCAGTTCCAGGTCACCAGAGCCACAAATTCAGCCTGCTCTGGGACATGAGGAAGGAAAGCTTTCAACCAAATATGAATTGAAGTTTCAAAGTGAAGGAGTCAGGCTTAATAACTGAAATGAGACTGTTTTATTAACTAAAAGAACTCAGTAATGATGATGTTGGATTGAAATGTCATTGAGGGAAACTGCCTCCTAGTAAAAACAGGGATTACACAGTGCATTCAGCAAAACACATTTGACTGCAGTACTACTCCCATAAGAAACTCATTTTTTTTCCCAAGATTTTATTTATTTTGAGAGAGAGAGAACATGAAAGCAAGAGAGCACAAGCAAAGGGAGAGGCAGAGGGAGAGGGAGAAGCAGACTCCCCACTGAGCAGGGAGCCCAACTTGGGGCTTGATCCCAGGACCCCAGGATCATGACTTGAGCCAAAAAACAACTGAGTCACCCAAGTGCCCCTATACTGATATTTTAAATTTGGGATTTTTTTGTACAGGTTTTTGAGACTGGTCTTTCTTCTTTCCTTATATATTCTTATTTTGATATAAGGTTTTAATGGTTTTATGAGTTAAGTAGTTTTTTCTATTCTCTGAAACATCGTGTATATAAGACTGGAATTACCTGTTTATTAAAGGCTCAGTAAAACTTGTCTATGAAATGACTAAGGCTTGGAGATATCTTTTGGTATTGGAAATTTTTTGACTGCTAAAGAAATTTCAGTTTCTTTAATGAGTACTGTTTAGATTTCTCATTTCTCCTGAAGTCAGTTTTGTTCTAGGAAATAAAATTTCCTAGAAAATTATGCATTTCTTGGGCACATGGGTGGCTCAGTTAATTAAATGTCTGCCTTCAGCTCAGCCTGTTTCCCCCCTCTCCCTCTGCCCGCCGCTCCCCCTGCTTGTGCTCTCTTTCTCTGTCAAATAAATAAATAAACTTTTTTAAAAAAATTGTGCATTTCAAGCTCATGACTGATATAAATTTGTATCGAGCAAATAACTGTGGTATAACCCAGAACTGGCAAATCTGACAGCTTAGGCAGAGATGGGGTCTTTGAATGATATGTTGGCATGAGCTTCAAATTACAATCTCACAACAGTAGTATTGTCTTGCAGGAGTGTACCTTTGGAGAGCAAACTTTGGTGGCATTAAAGCTTTTCTCCCAAGGCAAGTTGGGTGGTAGCTGCTATCCTCAGTAGATGCTTTGAGCAGGTCAGAGAATTCCTGCCCCAGAGGTCAAGGTTCTCTGCCTGAACACTCAGTTTTATGCTGTTGCTGGTCTCTGAGTTGTTTGAAACTAACAATTACAACTGGATCTGGATGTTTCTGCTACTGATCTTCAAAGTGGTTAAAAAAGACACTGCCTTCTTCTGGAACACTGAAAAGAAATTTTAAAAATAAATAAAAATTAAAAAAAAAAAAAGACACTGCCTTCTCCATGATGAGCAGCGGCCTCATCGACCTAGGGGTCTTCACACTTTTTCTCAGCTAGATCTAGACGGGGACAGCCAATTTCTCTTTGTCAGTCTTGTAATTCAGGTCACCATAACACTTGGTTTTGGTTTTGGTTTTAAAGTCATGATAGTCTGTTTCTTCATTGTGAGCCAACACTATCACTTACACAGACTATGTCAGACTTTTGGGGTCAAACTGTTCCCCAGAACCCAAAATAAAGGACAGAAAGTTAAGAAAAAGAAGTACAAATGACTGGCCTTGTAGTACCTGCTCAACCAAAAATAGCTCAGGGTACTCTCATTGATGGGAGTCCTGGCAGCATAGTGAACTTACTCTCTTACTCTCTGAAACCATGGAGGGAAATAGACCTATCAACAATACATATTGTAAGGGATTTTTACTAAGTAGAGCAGTGGCCCATTTAACTCACTACAACTCAGGCAAATTAAAAAAAAAAAGTTTTAATTTTACTCACAATTATTGCTGAGGCTATCCCTGGATTTTAATAGGAAAACTCACTAAGTTTCCAATATTACTTAAATCTGGCTGGGTTTAATCATTTAAACAGTTCATTTAGACAGTTTCCAGTCTCTTTTAAGTAGAATTGTTTTAGGTGCTTGTGGTACTTAACAGTTTATCTTAAGGACTTCAATGAGTAGTCATGCAACAAATATTCTGGTTTTAAAAAAATAGATGGAGGGGGATGGCTGGCTGGCTTCACTATGGAGCATGCGACCCTTGATCTCAGGGTTGTAAGTTCTAGCCCTACACTGAGTGTAGAGATCACTTAAAAATAAAATCTTAAAAAAAAAAAAATTTTTTTTTTAAATAAAAAAAAAAAAAAAGATGGATAAAGGGGCACCTGGGTGGCTCAGTCATTTAAACATCTGCCTTCAGCTCAGGTCATGATCTTAAGGTCCTGGGGTGGAGTCCTGTATCCAGCTCCCCGGCTCCGCAGAGAGTCTGCTTCTCCCTCTCCCTCTCCCCCTCCCCCTGCTTGCTCGCTTTCTCTCTCTCTCTCTCTCTCTCAAATAAATAAAATCTTTTTAAAAAAAGATGGATAGAGGGTGCCCGGGTGGCTCAGTGGGTTAAACCTCTGCCTTCGGCTCAGGTCATGATCTCAGGATCCTGGAATAGAGGCCCACATCAGGCTCTCTGCGTGGCGGGGAGCCTGCTTCCCCCTCTCTTTCTCTGCCTGCCTCTCTGCCTACTTGTGATCTCTCTCTGTCAAATAAATAAATAAATAAATCTTAAAAAAAAAAAAAAGAATGGATAGAAAGAAAAAGAAGAAGAAATATTCAATCTTTTAGATTTCCCTCACTCTCTGCTTTTCTAAGTTGGTATTTTTGTATGGTGGGGGAGGTGCTCGGGGCCACTTGCTGTTTGTGCTTTGTCAATTCTGTGCACATACACTGCTTTCCAGCCTGATGTCCCTTGTCTACCAGGTTCCTCCACATCTTTTAGCTTCTGACGCTGCTACCTAGAGGTTAAATTCCATTCTCCACTAATAAAATCAAATCCCACTTCCTTGCTCTGTGAGCCCCTTGGCTCCAACACTTACCGCTTAGGTTTGGGAGCTCCCTTTTTTTGCTGGTACAAAAAGAAAATCTCTTTTAGGCTATATATGCGTATAGGTGTGTGTTTAAATTTAAATTTGTAAGGGCGCCTGGGTGGCTCAATCAGTCAAGTGTCTGAAAACCAGAAAACGGCTTAATTTTTAAAAGTAAAATTGAAATAATACATAAATTCTTTTAAAAAAGGGGACAAGGACAAATCCCCTTCCAGCCCCACCCACATCCCTGTCCCTCATTGTCCCAAAGCCAACCTGGCTTTATCAGATAGGTTAGTTTCTTCTCAGTCCTTCTTTCGTACATTTACACACATTTATGTGTGTTCCTTACGCAATATGCAGTTTCATTCCATGGTGTCATTGATTTTCTTTTTACATAAAATGGCATCAACAATATATCCGTCACTTGCTTTGTCATCCAGTGGGACATGGTGGAATGCCATCCAGATCAGCACTGACTGCAGGGGCGTTCTTGAAATGGCCTCCTACCGCTGCTTCCGTAGTTTGAATGTACACTTTTTTAGCCATTGTTCTGGTCATAGTTCAGCTATGACTAGAGGAACTAGTCCCTAGGAACTTTCCCTATGAGGAACTCTGCAACCGGGCATGTTTGTACATGTTTTCTTATGCACAAGGGCCAGTGTTTTTCCAAAGCAGACACCAATAGCTTGAATTGTTGGCTCATAGCATACATGTATTTTTATGTTACTCACTATTGCCAAATTGCCCCTTTACACGACTGTATAAATATTATACTCCCATTACCAATGCGCATGTATGCTTTCCCACACCCACACCAAGACATTTTATTAGAATGTTTAATTTTTGCCCATATAATGATTGAAAACTGTTAACCCAATGTTCTAAATATAATCTTTTTTTTTCTTGATATTCTACTCATATGTTCATTGGCCAATTATATTTATTTTTCTATAAATAACTTGTCCTATTTTTTTTCATAGTCCCATTGGTGGGAGTTGTCCCTTTTAGTAGAAATGCTTTATAGATCTAAATGCTAACCTTTTCTGTGCTATACGTATGGCAAATACCATCTCCTAATCTGTCACTTGTTTCTGGACTTTGCCTAAACATGTTGTAGGTGTTATTCATACCTATCAATCTTGGAACTTCACTAAGGATGCCTTTTTCAGCAGACAACTTTGACACGCTGCTCCTATGAATCAGTCTTCATGGAGTCAGACTTATCAGTCTATTTCTTTACATATTTTGCATTCAGAGGTCTTGTTTAGAATGACTTCTAATTTCCCAAAGTCATAAACATACTCTCCTATATTCTCCTCCAATATATGTAGAGTTTTGTTTTTTGTTTGGGTCTTTAATGCCTCCAGAATATATTTTTGTGAATGGTCTTAGGTAGAGAATATAACTTCCTTTTTATCCAAATGATCAGCTGTCCCAACACCATTTACTGAATTTGAAATTCCCCAGTGAGAGGGGATTCCATCTTTACTGTACATATCAACCTAACTTGGATGAACTAGCCATCTACATGAATAATCCATGCTAAGTTAAGGCAGCTGAAATTAAGCAAACACCCCAGACTTATCTAAGCAAGCAGGATGTGTCCTTCAAATGAAAATTGTAACTCGGTTATTGTAAAAAAGGGAATTAAATAGTAAGAATTTGATAATGAGTGTGTGGCATGCAAATAATCAATTCACTAGAGAAAATTATAAAATTTTCTAGGTCTTTCCAGGCTTAAAAGAAATACCTTTCTATATTAGTCTATGCCTTTACTTCTGATGATATGCCAATTAAAAAACTTTCTGGTAGCCTATCTAATTTCACAGGTATCTTCACATAAAACAAGGGGATGCCCATAGAGAGGAAATTAGTATTTCAAGTATATCTATTTTTCTGAATTATTATTATTACTATTCTGAATTATTACGCTTACACATCAGTCCCTTGAGAGATCTTAAAGAACTCAAGCCAGTTAGTTTTCTGAATTTCTAATTCTGTGTTTTTATTTCTAGTGCTGTATAGTGCCCAGTACATAGAACGTATTCAGTTCATTTGTTAAATGAATGGATAGCCAAACCACTACTGTTGATTTGTTAAGTTAACATTTTAAATGCTAAGAATCATAGTCTTTCCCCACCCTCATTGTATTACTGTGTAAATGATTTCTTTCTGCAGAGGGATACAGACCCATAGCATGAAGTAGAGCCAATCACATTCAAGGCAGATCACAAATACCTCATTCATTTATTCACTCATTCAATAAGAATTTGCTAAGAACTTATTAATCATGATGCTCAGCTCTGGGGAATACAATAATAATAATTTTTTAAAAGACACAGTTATCATATTTAACCAGACTCTAGTTTGGTAGAGGGGATTATAACTACAAGTAGTTGGAAGTTCTAAGCAGCAGATTAAAAACAGGGGTGACACTAAGCTGTTTGTACTCAGAAATGAGAGAAAACCAGACAGGTCCACAGATCTCCAGGGCCCTTACCCATCTAACCAAGGGTCAGGTATAAAGTATAGAGTAAAAACTCCAGGTCTTTCCAGAAGATTGGGGAATCACACAGATCAGCAGACGAAGAACTGTTAGACATTTAGGTGCTTTCCGATTTTTTGCTACGAACAGTAGGGTCATGATAAACTTCCCCGGACAAAAATCCTTATGCACAACTTTACTTCCTTGGGATCAACTCCTCCTTCCTTGGGATCACATGCATTCTCTGGGTCAAAGAAAGACTATGCCAATTTACAGTCCTATGCTTGATAGAAGAGAGTACTTGTTTCCCCCCAAGTATAACCTTCGGCTATAGTATTTAGAAAGATGTGGATTTACAGGTCTCTATGAAAATTAAAACCAAATGTTTGCCAATTTTGTATATTAAAAATTTCCATTTTCATCTCAAATCTATTTTAATGAGTTAGAAAAACTTGTATGCTACATTTATTTAAAAGAGGAATTCACTTTATGTTATATTGCAGTGACCACTGGGGGCTTGCTCGTTTGCGCTAACATTCCTGACTTGTAGAGAAGTGCTCCACAATGCTTTAATAGGTGGGTTTAAGGTTGAACTGATAGAAGGAAAAAAGGGTGGGGGAGAAAGTTAAGAAAGACCCATAATATGATAGGAAAGGTAGACAAAAAGAACAAGAATGTGGGAAAAAAAACAAAAAGCAACCACAGAGAAGTGAGAAGGCCCAGACTTCTGCCACCACAGGTTCTACCTTTTGGTTCAAACATTTAGCAGCTGGGTGAGCCTGGGTGGCTCAGTGGGTTAAGCCTCTGCCTTCGGCTCAGGTCATGATCCCAGAGTCTTGGGATCGAGCCTGCTTCCCCCTCTCTCTCTGCCTGCCTCTCTGCCTACTTATAATCTCTATCTGTCAAATAAGTAAATAAAATCTTAAAAAAAAAAAAACATTTAGCAACTGCAGCTTCCTTTATAATTAGAGGAGGAAATGAAAGAGTAAGCACAATTATAGGCTGAGAAGTAATGACCGGGACCAACATGAGGAATCAGCATAGATTTTTTTTTTTTTAAGATTTTATTTATTTATTTGAGAGAGAGAGCACATGCCGGGGAAGCAACAGGGGGGAGAGGGAGAAGCAGGCTCCCCTTGTCGAGCAGGGAGCCTGATGCAGGACTCAATCCCAGGACAGTGAGATCATGACCCGAGCCAAAGGCAGCCACTTAACCGACTGAACCAGCCAGGCATTGTGTCGCAATTTGCTAAGTCACCAGGATTTTAGGGCTCGGGCTCCATGAGTCACTCTTTCCTTTTAAGCAGTTCCTTCTCTGGTTTTCTGACTGACTATTGTGTTGTTAATAAACCCAGTGGGACTCTTCAAACCTTTCTGAAAATTTTGAAAATGAATTCAAATTCTAATAACCAGCATTTCTGAATGTGGAATGTAAATCAATTAACTACCTATTTGATTTCTTTCTACCTCTTAGGATCTTTTCTCTTTGAGGGAATTTGCTGAGCTAAAATTTAATTTAAATACTTTAAAGATAACAGAAGAGGAGGTTTCTCTACAGAGTTTAAGATTTAGAAAGCAGTGGCTCCCTCTAACGGCCAGAAAATGCCACAATCTCTGGTTTTGTTTTCAAACTTCAGGGTGGTGTGGTTAGTATTAAAAATCTGGAAAGGGTTAAATGTTTCATCCCTCATCACTTTACTTAAAAGTGTCAGCACTTTTGGGGTGCCTGGGTGGCGCATTTGGTTAAGCGTCTGACTCTCGGTTTCGGCCCACGTCCTAAGTTCGGGGTCCTGAGATGGGGCCTCGTATTGGGCTTCACACTCAGCAGGGAGTCAGTTTGAGTGTCTCTTTCCCTCTGCTCCTCCCCTGCCTCTCTCACAAATAAATGAATCTTTAAAAGCATGTCAGCACTTTAAAGTTATTTAAAGATGCAAATCCAAATATACCACATAAAAAAGGAACAAAAATCAGTAATTTTTCTTTTTTCTTTTTTTTTTTTAAATAAATTCTACACCCAATATGGGGCTTGAATTTTCAACCCCAAGATCAAGAGTCTGATGCTCAACTGACTGAGCCAGCCAGGCCCCAAGAATAATTGTTAAAAATAGTTTTAAAAAATAAACTATTGGGGTGCCTGGGTGGCTCAGACAGTTAAGCATCTGTCTTCAGCTCAGGTCAGAATTGAGTCCCCCCTGCTGAGCGGCGAGCCGGCTTCTCCTCCCTGTGGCCCCACCCCCAGCCATGGTGCTGTCTCTCTCTCTCTCTTTCAAATAAATAAATAAAATCTAAAAAAAAATAAAATTATTGTCTGTTTTTAAAAGTTAGGCTGAGGGGTAGGGGAGTTGGAGAGATGTTGGTCAAAGGGTGAGAACTTGCAGTTAGAAGATGAGTAAGTTCTGGCAATCTGCACATTGCTGTACTTATGGTTAATGATACTGTATTATATACCTCAAAGTTGCTAAGAGACTAGATCTTAAATGTTCTCACCACAAAAAAAGAAATAATTATGTGAGCTGATGGACGCGTTAGCTATGGCGGTAATCACATGCAACGCGGCAGTCTATCAAATCAGGCCGTTGTATAGCTCACCCTTGCATCATGTTACATATAGTTGTCCTATAATTGAGGTATCAACTGTATCTCAATTAAAAAAAAATGAAAAAAAGATAAATTAGTGGATACATATTTATCAATTACTTGATTTCTGATATGTTTTCTAAAGCAGTGGATGTTTAAAACATGTATTTCTAGGGGCACCTGGGTGGCTCAGTGGGTTAAAGCCTCTGTCTTCGGCTCAGGTCATGATCCCAGGGTCCTGGAATCGAGCCCTGCATCGGGCTCTCTGCTCAGCAGGAAGCCTGCTTCCTCCTCTCTCTCTGCCTGCTTGTGATCTCTTGTCTGTCAAATAAATAAATAAAATCTTTAAAAAAATGTATTTCTAAAATTTCAGTGAAAACAATATCACATAAATTGTGCAAATAAATCACTTGAAATTTAAGTAACAGGTTTTTTTTTTTTTAAGATTTTATTTGTTTACTTGACAGAGAGATAGAGACAAGTAAGCAGACCAGTAGGCAGAGGGAGAGAGAGAAGCAGGCTCTCTGCAGAGCAGGGAGCCCGATGTAGGGCTCGATCCCAGGACCCTGGAATCATGACCAGAGCCGAAAGCAGCTGCTTAACCAACTGAGCCACCCAGGCACCCCTTAAGTACCAGTTTTTTAAAAGGTAGAGTCTTTATTATGATTAAAAATAAAGTTAGGGGCACCTGGGTGCCTCAGTGGGTTAAGAGGCCTCTGCCTTCGGCTCAGGTCATGATCTCAGCATCCTGGGATCGAGCCCCTCATTGGGCTCTCTGCTCAGCAGGGAGCCTGTTTCCCCCTCTCTCTCTGCCTGCCTCTCTGCCTGCTTTGTGATCTCTCTCTGTCAAATAAATAAATAAAATCTTAAAAAATAAAAAATAAAAATAAAGTTAAAAAGTTAAAAAAAAAGTAAACTAGCATCTAGGCCAGACTGTGGCCAGACTGTGGCCCAGTATGAAAACAGTCATTTAGCTCAATGTGAGAGAAAAATCCTGTGTGACCAATGGGGTCATGAGCTTCTTCAATTATCACTGCAATCCTATCTGCTAGGTATCAACATATTTTAAGCTGGAATTTGGCTGTGATCCTTTTTTTTTTTAAGATTTTATCTATTTGACAGAGACACAGCGGGAGAGGGAACACAAGCACGGGAGTGGGAGAAGGAGAAGCAGGCCTCCTGCTGAGCAGTGAGCCTGATGCAGGCCCATCCCAGGATTCTGGGATCTTGACCTGAGCTGAAGGCAGACCCTCAACGACCAAGCCACCCACGCACCCCTGGCTGTGATCCTTAATTCATACATTTGACAAATATGTATTGGCACAATGCAAGGCATTTGAAAGATCGCCCAATGAAAATACAAAGTCCTGAGGATCAGTCAGTCAAGCATCTGCCTTCGGCTCAGGTCAGGATCCCAGGGTCCTGGCATGCAGCCCCATGTTGGGCTCCTCACTCAGTGGAGTGTCTGCTTCTCCCTCTCCCGGTTTCTCTGCCCCTCTCCTTGCTCTCGCTCTCGCTCACTCTCTCTAAATTAATGAATGAAGTATTAAAAAAATAAAAAATCTTAAAAATAAGAAGTTCTTGTGTTTTTGGAGCTTGCAGTCCCGTAAAAAAGAAAGAGTATAAATAAATAAATATCTAATTGCAAATTGGGATGAAGCTGTAGAAGGAAGAGAACTGCGTTCTTTTTTTCTTTTCTTTTCTTTTAAGATTTTATTTATTTATTTGACAGATCACAAGCAGGCAGAGAGGCAGAACCCTAGAGCCGAAGGCAGAGGCTTTAACCCACTGAGCCACCCAGGCGCCCCTGAGAACTGGGTTCTTAAAAGAGAGACTAACAGGGGCATCTGGGCAAAGAAGTGGATACAGACTGAGATCTGCGTGAAGGGGAGTTCCGCAAGCAGAGGGTGGGGTCCCCTTTGCAGCCAGACGGAAACTCTAATGGAGACACCATGAGTAATAATCACTCAATTACTCATAAGGCTGCAGTGTTTTGGTATAATAGGTGATATATTAACAAGAAAATTCTTGCTCCTATATGTGTCATTGCATAACATTTCAGTATTTTGCATATGGTCATGTTCTCTGGCCTTTAGATTGAAGGCTCCGAGATGAATGTCTCGGAATGTCCTCCCTTTATTTCCATTTTTCTGGGTTAGTACAGAGTACTGCATGCAGAAGACTCTTAACTCATGCTACCAATGTAATAGAGGACTATTTCTCTGCAACTGCCTCTTTGGGAAAGTCCCTTTGGTGAGACAGCTTCGCCAGAGGTTTTGTGTTCCTAACATGTAACAACATGTCTGCCATAATCAGTGCTCAATATGTGTTTGTGGAACCATAAAGAAAAGACCAAGTGAATGACATTTTTCACTACATTCATGTGTCTGTTTCCGCACGTCCAATTAAACCTCTCATGTAATTCAATCATTCAACAGATCATTGCTGAAGACACGCAGTGTGCCAGGAATCTTACCAGTGTTGGAGTCCAAAGATGAGCGGAAACAGACAAGACTCTGCCCTTGTGAAGCTTACAGTCTGTTACATGTTACGAAAGTCAGAGGTAGAAGACTGATCAAGCATTTGGGGTGCCTGGGTGACTCAGTAGTTAAGCGTCTGCCTTCAACTCAGGTCATGATCTCAGGGTCCTAGGATCTGAGCCCCGCATTGGGCTCCCTGCTCAGCGGGAAGCTGTTCTCCCTCACCTACTCCCTCTGCTTGTGTTCCCTCTCTCGCTGTGTCTCTCTCTGTCAAATAAATAAATAAAATCTTAAAAAAAAAAAAAAGAAAATTGATCAAGTGTAGTCTGTGTTTTCTTTCTTGCCAGGAGAGGCAAGAAAGGCAAGAAAGGTCCAGGCCTTGATTTAACCACATTATTTCCAGAAGCTCCAAGCAGGATCCTTGGTGAACAGAAGCCAGAGTCTACTATTAGGGCTTAGGTATAGACAGCAAGAGCCTGGTGGACTGGGGTTGGTCTCTCGCTAAGGAGTGTGGTTCTGTTGCAGTCCAGGTGACAAGAGTGTCTATAACCACGGAGCAAATCTGGCTTTCTGAATTAGGTTTGCAACTTCACCCAATGCTTATGGATTGGAGCCAGGGGATGTGGGGGGTGGGGGGTGATGGCCTGAGAAGAAGCAAGCAGAGAAGATTTCACAAAGAAGATTAAAGAGATGCTGCTGGGTCAGCACAAACATCTCAAGAATGTGACATGGGTGGTCTCACTGCCCTCCTTTGAGGAAAAGGCTGTGCTTTCCTACCCACACTGACAGTGAGGTCTACTTCCCTCCCCTCCTGGAGAGGGAATTACCACCTCAGGCCTCTCTGCATAGACTTGGCAGAAGGGCATTTGACTTTTTTATCCTCCTGACATGACCGCGCAGAAATTAGACAAATTACTCAGTGACCAACCTGTGTTGCAGAGAAAGAGAACCTGTCATGGACTGGATTACTGGCTTCACAGCTCATTGCTCTTTATGTCTCATTTAGAATAAGACAAAAGCTTCATAAAGACTCAATGCATGTGTGACTGTTCAAGATGAGAGAGAAACTTTTCAGTGGAATTGTTCAGAGAAACTCCTCTCCACTGAGCGACTGTTCCTCAAGTGATGGATGTGATGTGTCAGAGGCTCTGACGGCTTCCAGTTCTCCAAACCCAAAGTAAGGAGGGATAAATTAGATACATTAATCATCAAGAAAGAAAGAGAGAGAGAGAGAGAGAGAAAGGAAAGAAAGGAAAGGAAAGGAAAAGGAAAGATAATAAAGGAAAGGAAAAGGAAGGAAGGAAGAAAAAGAAAGGCTTTTAATGCACTAACAAGGAAGTTTTTAAATATTGATTGTTTCCTCAAAAAGAGGCTCTAAAGAACAGAGTTTCTGTGGCCAAAACTCCTGGTGTTCTAGCTCTGCCACCATTTTCCTACTCTCAGCATGCCTCAGTTTGCTCATCTGCAAAATGGGGATAATAAGATTGTAAGAAAGATTAAACAAGTTAGTGCATATACTATTACAATGTTTAATGGTAAGAATATAGAATCCCCCTTGAAGGAGTCCTAAAAATTACTCCTGTTATCCAGAACTGACTACTCTCTTTCTTGTTTTGTCTTTTTGTTGTTTTATTTATTTATTTATTTATTTATTTGAGAGAGAGAGAGAGAGAGAGAGAGCGCAGAAGCACAGGGAGGGAAAGAGGAACTTGAGCAGACTCCCCGCTGAGCTCGGAGCCCAACACCGGGCTTCCTCTCAGGACTCTGAGATGATGACCTGAGTCAAAACCATGAGTCCAATGCTTAACTGACTGCGCCACCCAGGGGCCCTTCTTTCTTAAATGCCAAGCTATTTCCTGCCTTGGGACTTGGGGCCCTTGCTATATCACCTTTCCAGAAACCTATTCCCCAGTCTTGGGCATGGCAGAACCCCTTCAACCCTTGAGTTCTTGGGTCAGAGGTCATCTCTTCAGAGAGGCCTTTTCTAACGCAGCCCGTCCTCCATCCTTAGCTACTGTCTCTGCCATTCCCTGTGTTTATTCTTATCATGGAATCGATCACGTTCTGAAATCCCCTTGTTTACTTCTCTCCTCGTTGGTTGTCTTCTGTCCCTGGAACTGCTGCTCCCCAGGGGCAGCAGCCAAGACATCCAGAAAGCCTAGGGCAGTGATTCACGAAGCTTCGCATGAACCTCTTGCAAGGGTCTTGTGAGGTCAAAACTCTTCATGCTAAGACTTGATTCGCTTTGCACTGACACGTGTGGACTCTTGCACTGATGGTGCGAAGACAAGGAAGGGCGAGACTACTGGCACTTGGCATGACTCAAGGCCTTGGCACCAGCCGTACCACCTTATCCCTCACCACTGCGCCCTCACGCGAAACAACAAAAGTCGGTTTCACTTAGGTGTCGCTTAACAGTGTCCTCGAAGGAGCCATCACAAGGGTCCCTTTCATTAGGCCTGACCCTTGAGCACAGGACTTTTCAGGAGCCTGGGTAATACAAAGTACAGAGAGCACCGGGGCACGCACTGACATATGCCGCCAGGGACCTCGAGCAAGAGCTTGCCCCCCAGCGAGCTGTGAGCCGCAGTAAACCGCAGTTGTCCTGGGACGCCACTGATTCTTGAAAGAGCATTGATGGACTGTGGACGGAAGCACAAACGGAAGACGTGGTTTTGAGGGCTCACTGCTTAGGGCTGATCGCATCTAATAGGGGACCGGCACTGTTTGACCCACTGTGTTACCAGCACAGTGTTACCCGCTGGCAACAGACACGTTTTCCACTCTCAGGAAGTATCAGAGAGAATAAATCGTGGAGGGCAGGATGGAGATTTGCTTCATCCTTGAAAAGAGGGGCTGGGAGGAGAAAGAGAGGTGAAAAGGAAACCCTTTAGGAAACGCATTCAGTACAGTAACCTCTCTGCAAACCACTGTTGTTTATTATTAGCAAAGCAGAGAGAGGGGTTATCGGCTCTGAGCCAAAACGGAGAAACAATCTTCTATAACTGGGACCCTGACAGGTTTTTTTCAGCAGAAGGAGATTCGGAATCCACGGATGCTTTAAGAATCTTGCTTTTCTCCTTTTATAGAGGAGCCTTGCTCATCTAGAGAAGTTCCAGCATGAGAACATTTACAGTTAACTGGGAAGTGGCCATCACGGATACCCTGATTACAAATTCTGTCTGATTTACAAGGAGAATGATGATTAAATTTTCACCCTTGTGCCATACACCTTGTTCATTGCCAAAGTCACTTAAGTTCATGCTGCGATCACAAATCTTATACTTTTAAAATAACGCTCTTAAACTCCTCCTGAATTTTTCTTCCCCCAAAGATCTTTGCCACAACCACAGTTTAAACAAGTCGTCCCTGCTTTCTCCCCTCTGCGTCCTGACGGTGCATTCATTCCGGGTTGGCCTGGAGTCTGGGTCTGGTCCCTCTGCACCAGGGCTCTGAGGCATACATGCTGGAGAAGACAAGCCTCCTTTTCACAGGCTGAGGGCAGCAAACTGAATTCCTTCAATCTTAGGTCTGACGGAAAAAGTTCTCCAACCCAAAAAGAAGCAAAGGTCTCAGAAAAGCAGAAAGAAGATTTTAAGTTTTTAACCAAATGCGTGACTTTAGAAATTATGCCTTGAGATTTTAAAACCAAACGTAGAACTAATGTAAATTTGAGTAACCAATCTAGGATAGCCCAAATGTCCTGCATTAGGAATAATATTAGAAGTGCTAGAAACTTGGAGCAACTGACTGGCTTAGCCAGAAGAACATGTAACTCTTGATCTCAGGGTCTTGAGTTCA